AAGAGCGTATTAAGAAGGCCGATTATTGCCGACAATCTCCGTTAAATGCCGTCCAAATGCTCATCTGCAACACACAAGTACACCGCACGCTAGCTGCTGCACACTGACACATAAATATAGTTATTATTTTTATTTTTTATGTGTCAGTGTGCAACAGCTAGCGTGCGGTGTACTTGTGTGTTGCAGATGAGCATTGACCGGCATTTACAGGTGATTATAGGCGAAATAGAGTAGAGAGACATTAAGACTTTAGTAGTAAATACATTTCGTGTTTATTTACCATTATTTTTTTGGCCGTGGCTACGCGACGGTTACTGGACGAGGAGCCGCTAGGCTACGTGTCCGACGCGATGCGCAATCTGCTCTTCTTACTAACCCTAACCCTAAGCCTAACACTAACCCTAACCCTAATCCTAACCCTAAACATACCTCATATAAAAATATAAACATAATACTAAACAACCTAAAACTACCTCGGGTACATATCTGTAGGTACCTGTTACGACAACGACCCTTCGTGCAGTACTAGTACTACTAGTACTAGTAGTAGTAGTACTACTCTAGACTCTAGTGAACTCGGCACATACCGCGAGCTCTTTTGTATTACTTATTACTGCAGTTCGAAGTTTCAGTCTCTTAAATTATGTTATTTGTCACTTCAAGACGTCGCACCTATAAATTTTACAGCTTTTCTACTCGTCATTTCTTTTTAAATTTCGCACCAAAATGTGTAGATCTAACTTAGAAAACAATTGAGCTTTCTTTTGGTGGCCTAGCGCGCCACCGTGCGTGGAGTTTTGTACTAAATGTATTTTCCGTCGAAACCGAATTATCCCACTGTCGCTCTACATGACGTCAGACAATGAATTGCCATGTGCCTACCAATAAAAACCTTGTTGCGTATGAAAGAGGCGTGGACAGGAGTTCGGAAGCGACCTGATAGGCGCAATGTTTACCGTTACCGGAGCATATATCTTTACCGCGCCGAGCAAAGACACTTCTCGGAGGAGCTAGTTTTCATTCATTCATTCGTGGGACCTTAGAATTAGGTGAGTAGTTACAGATGACTTGCTACCCATGTATGTTTAATTGTTTAAACTGCAGTCTGCATCATGATTAGCGATGTTACTGGCGTCATAACAATATCAAACGTAAATGTTGCGATACAAGTGTGAGCTTGTAAGAGTTGATGACAAAGAGACAAAGCCAGAGCAATGGACAATGTGAATGTGCAGCAGCAGCTGCGAGAGCGCGTGGCACGCGGTCGGTTTGTACCAATTTTCAATACTGCGTTTCTCTGCACCGCTGCCTGTGGTGATGTGCTGCCTTCCATTTCTCGTTCACTCCGTCCGTAACCGCATATTAAATCTTGTGCAAAGTGTACTGACGTATATAAATTATACCGTAAGTGTAATATTTTTCCTTCATGTTGATTCGCGCTGTTTTGTACTGTATATCACTCGGAAATTTTATGATTTTAACTGCTCAACACTATTGCATTTATCAGATTTTTTCTCCATGAAAAAGACTGTCTTCGTTACATATAAAAAACCAAAATTTGTATTTGAATTACATGCAGTAAATTTTTTTTTAATAATATTAATAACCTCACAAAGATTATAACTAGTCTTCGATCATAGTCTAAGGTAGTCCGAGCCAACGCAGACCCCAGTTAAACCCGCACCCTCAGATAAGGGACTGTGTGAGTGTATTGAATATATCGAATATGTGTGTGAGAGCATCGAAGACGGAGAGAGACAACCATTACAGGCACTACAATTCCGTCAGGAGTGAATATTTTGATTCACTAAGTACTCATTCCGGTACAAGTAGCGTTTACACACCCATGTCCTGAGTTTTGGTTAGGGTTAGGTTTAGGTTAGGTTAGGGGGTTGTCTTTTTTAAACCTGGGGTTGTTCCCAAATAGGAATGGGCCCTAATTCCGTCCATATATAAGATATAATATATAATGATCGGATCAGGATAATATATATATATATAGGTATATATATTGTCCATCCGTCAACTCACGGCCCATACCCTTTTTGTAAGCAGTTTTCAAAGTCGAATTAAAGGACAGTAGTTGGGCTTATAGTGTTATTAAATATTATCAGGAGTGAATAAATATTTAATAATAATAATAATAATAATCTATTATTCTTCACTCCTCATATTATGTCAGGACGTACATGGCTATACATATATGTTTAAGTGGCTGTCGTTGTACCATTTTGAGCAATGTTTGGATAAAACGGTATTTTCTTGTTTAAAAAAAACCTTGGTTATTTCTAATGATAATGCTTCATACTCCAAGGAACTATACTGAAGACGGAGTTTCACGTCGATCCGCTCGGTAGCTGAACACTGCGAACAGCAGCAAAATACTAAAGAAGTAGGAGAGAGTAATTATAGTAAGGAATTACTGAGAAGAAGAAAAATAACTTAACCTACCCTTAGGAAATAAGGGTATAATAAATATATAATATAATAATATAGGGAAATAATTATAAACGCCTTGTGCAGTGACGTCATAAGACGTGATCACGTGCCCTCAATCTACGCCCGGGGGAAAGTGACACCCAGCGGTGTAACCACGGCCACGGACTAAACATGGAAATGGAGTAAAACACGTACTAATCACAGATGCACATGGACAGCCCTGACAAAAAGTTCCTTATCACGAGCGTCCGTGTTTACGAAATCACTGATGATAGCATTGCGTACGGCCGAGCATGCGTGTGAAAATGTCCGGTGCACTATACATCTGTATCATACCCGCTTCGCCGGCAGCGGTTTGAAACTGTAAACAACTCGGTCAACTGATTTCTTGGACTGCGGATTTCAATTAGACATTTCTTAGTACCCAGCAGTGATATTGGACAAACTAATACGCGTTTGGCTATAACTATAAGGTAATGTACTTATTAACTACACAAGGTGCCAGTTACTCTAGAATTTGTCAGCATTGCATAATCAATGGACCTATTATTCCTTTAAGGTAAGAGGTAGTGCTATCGGTTTAGTACATTTATTATAACATTGATACTATAGAGTTGGGTTCCACGAAATTTTTTCTACCGCGGTATACCGCGATTTCAAGAACAGGTCAGAAGAATATAACTTGAAGGTCAAAGACTTGTGGCGGCCTTTAGTGAAACGCGCTACGCGCTCTTGATCGATCGTGCCCTGTTCTCCCATCAAAGGCACCGCTGCCGCGCTCATAGAAAAACGCCTGGCAGTCGCCGCGTCGCATTATTCTTGTAATCTGCTATATCTTGTAATTTCTTTGGAACAAACATGAGCGAGAGTAGGAGTGTCGTACGGCTAGAACCAGTCTGAAGTAATGAAGTATGTACAAATAAAATAGCGCAGACTATCTACTAGGCATATAGAATAGGTGCTGGAGATACGCGAATATAGCATGAATGGTGTCGATCGACAGAGATGTATTTATAAAGCTATGCAATGACGAGGAAGTGAAATAAAATTGATGTGATAAAAATAGCTAAAAAAAGCCGGTACACCACTACACGCAAAGTACCGTGGTACGTACCGGTACAGGTCACGTACTGCGGTATAGAGGGTTCCGCGACTTGGTCTAAAAATAGCAATATTACCTACAATCCCGTGCCGCCGGCCATACCGGTTACAAATAGAGCAAACACGCGTCGCGTATAATGTGCCACTCTGCACAATCAACCGATTTTACATTGGCTATAGTGTTATTATTGCAATAGA